GGAAATGTGAAATAATATTCTAAATTTGTGATATGAAACTGAGTTAAGATGACAATTAATTAAACTGTCAAAGTGATATAGAAATGTGCCACAATTTTAAAGGTAAATGGCCAGTTAATACAAAAATGTGACATGATTTATCTGAATTATTCATTGAATTATTTATTCATTTAACACAGAATCAATTTCACAGTTCATACAGCTCATTTCATTTTTTATTGCATTATACAGTATCAGTTTTCAAAATTTAACATTTTACATTATAACCTTAACAGCATAACATTTTATATCATAGTTTTTAAAGTTTAATAGCATAAATATACTAGTATATGTATAGAAAATTTAATAGAAATTGAAAAAAATTATGCATTTTTTTTGCAAAAATTTAATCAATTTTTTTTTTATATAAAAATGAAAAGATCTTATCTATATAATGATATATCTACCTGAAAATTTTATGACATATTTTTGCAAAATACCTTAGATTTTTCACTGAAGTGTGCATGTCATATTTTTATAAAAATGTATATAAAACAAGCAGAGATAAGATAGGGGTGGAATATTACTTTTATTATAAATGTATCAGTATCACTTTGACCCAGCTAAATAAATAGCATGGCTGCCAAGACATATGAGTCATTGATTGTAATGTAAAATTTATAATTAAATTGAAGTAAGGCCAAGATAAACATTGACATTCGTTTGTGACATGGAATAAAGAATACTGCAAAGGTAGACAGTTTATATATGTGTCATACATGAAACTAAAGTGAGAGGTCCTCGAAACATATGAAGGACCATTACATACAGACACATGGCATCATTAGAAAACATTGATATTTTAGTTGTGTGATTAAGTTTTTATACGCCCGTTTGAAAAACGGGACGTATTATGGGAACGCCCCTGGCGGGCGTATGGGCGGGCGGCGTCCAATTTTGTCCGGAGCATATCTCCTACATGTATGGAGGGATTTTAATGAAACTTCATAGAAATGTTCACCACTATGAGGAGCAGTGTCGCGCACATGAACCAGGTCTCTAGGTCAAAGGTCAAGGTCACACTTAGAGCTCATTGAAAAATGCTTGTCCGGAGCAAAACTTCCACATGTATAGAGGGATTTCAATATTACATGGCACAAATGTTCACCATTGTGAGGCGGAGTGTCGCGCGCAAGATTCAGGTCCTTGCGGTCAAGGTCACACATAGAGGTCAAAGTTCAGATAAAAATATGAAGATGTGTATATGGACCATTTAGTCATCATTTATTGAGGGATTGTAACACAAATGGTCATTATCAAGACTATGGCTGTGATACATATATAATTTAGGTCAATATATACAAGGTCAAGGCCACTAAAGATGATGAAATATCCAGATTTTGTCCGGAGCATATCTCCTACACGCATGGAGGGATTTTAATGAAATTTCATGGAAATGTTCACCATTATGAGAAGCCATGTCACGCACATGAACTAGGTATCTAGGTCAAAGGTCAAGGTCACACTTAGAGCTCATTGAAAAACGCTTGTCCGGAGCAAAACTTCCACATGCATTGAGGGATTTCAATATAATTTAGCACAAATGTTTACCATTGTGAAGCTTACAATTCAGGTCCCTGCAGCCAGGATCACTGTCACTCATAGAGGTCAAAGATCAGGTAAAAATATGAAGATTTTTATAAGAACCATTTAGTCATCATTTATTGATGGATTGTAGCACAAATAGTAACTATCATGACTACAGGTGTGACACATTTAATTTAGGTTAATATTTGCAAGGTCAAGGTCACTGGAGATGATTAAATACCCTGCGACCAAGGTCAAGGTCACACATCCTGTGCATATCTTCCCTACTGATTTGTTTTAAGGTTCATTTAACAACACAGTGCCAAGAATAAAAACTTGCTTGCTAGATAACACTTATCCATAATGCCCCCATCTCCATCTAAAGCTTTCGTAAACGGGCGTATTTTGTGACTATGGCACCCTTGTTATAGTTTAATCTTTACCGTGTTAAATATCTTAAATGGACTTGTCCAACTTCAAATCTTGACAAAATCTTTAATCCTTTTAGGAAAAATTTCCATTTATTTACAACTGACTTTACAATTTGACTGAATTGCAAACAGTGCTGACAATGATCAGGCAGCCAGTGGATGTACTGGCTGATCTTGATCTGCATAAGATGTAGGGGTAAGGCTAAGGGTTAAATAAAGATTTCTGCAAGGACTTGATGTGTGCAGAATATGGTTTACATATTGTGACGGCAGAGAAAGCGAAAGCGACAGAAATGTCATATTTAGATGCTCGTTCATTGGTTACTTTTCTCCGGGGTTTCATATTGTGACAACAGGGAACGTGTTTTTATGTTTGACTATGATACAAAAGAGAAAGAACATCAAAACACTCGGCAATCTCGGGGGGGGGGGGGGGGTATAAATCAGATAGCCTCGTGTTTCGATGCTCTTATTATTACTTAACTCTGTCAAGTCTTATATCTACAATCTCTGCTATAGTCAAGGCAACAAATTCTGAGAATAGAAACAAAAGATGACTGGCCACAGTGTTTGTTGGACTGAGCCCAGACCATTAGACTGGTATACAATATCATCTTATAAAATCTTCCATTTCTGGTGACAGTCTATCTGATACTTCTTTGGAAACATATTTCTTGTATTATTAGTAAATAAAAGGCTTGGTTTAGAAACCATTCTTGTAAAGTGTGGTTTGTTGTCCACTTCCTTTAAACAGTCACTAAAACTGTCTTTAAGAAGTTTATTAGTTGTAAATTTCCTGCCTTATAGTTTTGAAGTACTATTACACACAGTCTGGTTTACCACCCACGCAGATTTTATGTCACAGAGAATAAAGTGAATTTCATTTTTTATGAGAATATATCATGAAAATAGAAAATAAAGAATCAATTCAAGACATTAAATTAGGTTTTCAGGTGTTATTATGAAACAAAATTGCACAAAACACTTAAAATTGCAAAATGCACTTGCTGCCCCTGCTAAGGTGTCAGACTTCTAGTTGTAGTCTGGTGACAAGACACTTTGTTTAAGTGTCCATTTACAGTTTATTTTGCAGTGCATGTTACAGCTCTTAAACTCAAATGGTGTAAAGAATTTGCCCTGGAACAGTTCACTCAAATTGTAAGGAATTCCAAAATTTGAGTTACCAGGTCAGAATGCATGGAAGTGCAGGCTGGCTTTGTTCTCTATACTGTAGGCAATGGCTAACTGCAGGTCCTTGGGTAAATCAAAGGTTTTTCTTCCACTGTGTTTCACACTTAAAAATTAAGTTTATACACTCCTCAATAGTTGACTGATGATTTCCAAGACAGTTGCTGACTTTTCCATTATCAAGTTAATGATTGGCCATGCAGGCATGTAATTGCTGTCGATTTAAGTTGCATATACCAATGATGCCACTGAGGTTACTGATAACATGTATTACTTTGGGTTGCTAGGTATCATTTTAAAATTGTAATATGTCAACTAAGCTATCAGTATAATGCAAGATTTCTTAAGAAATTCTGTTTTCATGTATATTCAAACTATGTTTAAAGTCCATCCAGTCTTGGGGAAATTAATTGGGTCTTGTTAAAGGGTGGATTCTTAGAACAGGTATATATGCAATGCATATTACTTGTTTTAAAATTGAAAATAAGAATGGTATCTGATATTTTGTTTTGTATAAATAGTCTGTATTTTGAGGTGCAACTGTAATACTCTTGAAATTAAATGCTGACTCATAGATAACAGTTTCCTAATAAGGTGTTTGTATCTTATAATGATACCTGACAAATGTGGTTGATTTGCAGTAAACAACAATTTGTTACTTAATGTAACAGATTATAATACAAGATAAAGTTGCGGTGGTTTTTTAAGAGCCCTGTTACGGCCCAAAAGGTATAATGATGTGATTGTATGGTTTATTTCACAGGGACAGTATCTGTTCATTATACATTATTAACATATTAATTAAATGTAACATTGTAAGAAGGTAGTTCTATGTCAACTGGGGTCAGTCATTTAAAACAGGTAATTGAATATGTTACATTGTCTCTCCAGAGTAACATTGTGTTTTTTGTGAGTTTCATAAGTTCAACCATGCAAACTTATGGTAATGAAGACATAAATTATACAACAGTATTTTTTGTCCCAATTAACATATTTAATCTGTCTTAGGATTGACTTAGTCACTATATTACATATATCTTTAACAGTAGCAAACAAATGACTGGTTTAAAAGCGGTTATAAGTGTCATTCTACCATTTTCATGAACTGTTTATAGTAAAATTATAGTGTAATTATAGTGTAATTTGATGTTTTAAAGAGATTTTATATAATTTTTTGTATAGATATATCATATGTCAGATTTATGAAAATTATAGTTCTGTATAATTCTTACATCTTGAATAGTTAGTTAGTTAGTAAGTAAGTTAAGTCATTATGCGAGATATTTGGAATAAAATGATTAACTCGGACCACCAAAGAAACAAATACTTTCATTCAATAGCCATTATTTTTAAGCATGTAATAAAAATTTGAATAGTCAAAATGGTTATATAGTTTTTATGATAGATTTAGATATGTAATTAGATATATATCCTGTCCATTTAAAAACATAGATATCCTGTCCATTTAAGGTAAAGTACATAATATTAAATATTAAATAATTATTAATAATATTAATGAAAGTCAAAGGGTGGTGATATAAGACAGGTGGTTTCTTAGTAAAGGTTAATAAGTAAGTAAATGAGCAATAATAGTTGAAAAGCATTGATTTCCTAGTGTAAAATTTGTGTTACATTGCAAGTTTAATTAAAAAGATTGCATTTAGTTTCATTAGTGAAGGGAAAATTCATATTTTGAAGATAATTGATCAATCCTGGAAGAAATTGCCTTATTTGTGACTGCAGACAGTGTTAGGTTTATTTATAGGGTCATTTAAATTTTCAGTATATTTATTTGTGTTATTTTTATCATTTCAGAAAACATTGTAATAACAGAGGATGATTCCAGTAACAGTAACAATAGAGTAAATCCTTCTTCTTCTTTAGGTAAGTTCACTTACAATACATCTAATGATGCTTTAAACCACTTGCATCTCTCTGCTATGTGGATTCTTTCATGTTAGGAAGCTTAGATATAATACAGGTAGCCTACTGAATGCTGGTGGTTCTACTCAGGCGTCCGTTTGTGTCTGAATTAATGCATGGATGGGGAGCCTGAGATCCTCCTCCACCAGTTAAAAGCTGTGTTGGTGCAAGCCCAACCAAAAACAAACAAAAAACAAAACTTACAATAATATGGTATCAGGTGATGAAACTATTTATTTGACATATGGAAGATCATTTGCTTTGTTCCTTATTCTAGTAATTGCATCAATGCTGGAAATTGTCAGCCTATGTGCCTTTCATGTAAAGTGAGTCGTGTGCTTAGAATGGCACCATTTTCCAATGAAATTTACACACTACTTAAAGAGAAAAGTGTCAAATAAAACTTATAAGTTATTGAAGTGCAACATGCTAGAAAAGAATGAAGTTGACATTTACTTTTTAGAAAGTCAGGTTTGTACTAATACAGACTAAAAGGATCATCTCCTAAACACATTGAATGCTGGTGATGATGACATATGTAATGTAAATCTAGCCAACTATTCTTAATCTTTTCTTCTTTTGTAGAAACATGTAAACAGCCATCATTGCAAGGAACATGTAGAGATTTCAAAGTAAAATGGTATTATAACTCAGAGTCAGGAATCTGTGAACGATTTTGGTATGGTGGTTGCGATGGCAACGATAACAGATTTGACAACGAAAATGACTGTAAACTGTCCTGTGTACGCAGTGTTACCCCTGTTACAGAAGAAGGTAAGTACAGTAGAACTAATACATCCCTATACAGACCAATATAGTAAAACCTGTATGTCATTACCAATTTTTGAAATGGTTTGTAAACATGTGATATTTGCTGGCAAGTAATCACATAAAATAAATATGAAGGATTATATTTGAATGATTAAATGAACAAATAAGATACTGGCATTGAGTTTCAGATGTGACTGAATCCATATTATTATGAGAATCTAGGTTTGGGTTCAATTTAGTACTTCTAGCTTATGGAACGTCGGTGGTTCTACTCAGGTGCCCGTTGTGCCTGAAAAAAATGCACGGAGGGGCACCTGAGGTCTTCCTCCACCAGTAAAGCTGGAACGTCGCCAAATTACCTATACTGTGTCGATGTGACGTAAAACCCAAATCAAACAAAACAAACCAAAATTTAGTACTTGTTCATCCTATGTGTGTACATGACTGAAACAGACAAGAAGTCCTTTCTATTTTGGTATCTTATACTTGAATAGTATATGTCAAATAAATGTTCTATATTAAATGGATAAAAATACTGAGAATTTGTTTCAATGAAAGGGAAACAATGTTAAAATTGAAAATGTACCACCATGAGGCTAGAACAAATGGAAGAGTTATTTACCATTTTGATATCTTTTCACCGATTTACAGAAATATTGCTTATCACCCTTTCCCTTGCTATGAACTTTTGTATAGAATAACAAAGACAAAAGCAATGCCAAAGAGACACCATTTTTCACTATACAGTCTTATATAATTGCCCTTCCTTTAAAGACAAAAACTTCCCTTTCTGCTCCATTTTTCAAAGGAAATGTGTGAAAAGTAATTTCCATTACAGAATTATAAATCCATAAAAGGTCTATCTCCAGACATTGTGATTGAAAACATTTCTATTTCTGCTGGTAAATCCTCTAAAACTTTGTAATTTGTATGCAATCAGTTATTGCATGTCTTTGAGTGATGGATTGCATGTTTTGGTTGTAACTTTCTGTACAAGGAAAATATAATTGGTCATGTCTATTTCCTATTCTGAGAGATGGATTCTATATTGTGGTCGATATTGAAAGGAAAACCATTGTAATGAAAATTCCACATTTTCACAGTGATGCATAAAACTTACAGCCGTAACTCTTTCCAAATTATAAAAATTAAAAATTCATTCTCCTATATATTATAAATAAGAAATAGTACACAGCAGTGGTCTGATGGTCTTATGATATAGCATTATCAATTATTATTATGACTTATCAATTAGCCAGCAAACATTTAACAGACCGGAGGCTGTAGTCCGTTCAATGTGTTGGGGCTGTCTTTGTGTTGGACAATATCCTGTCACTTATAGGTCATTCATTACAATATGTTGTTATTAATTTATGTAATCTGATCACTTTTCAATGTTGTTATGTAAAATGAATTGATTCATTTGTAAAGTATACAAAAATCATTGTGAATTTCAAAATAACTTTAGTATTATCATAATATTTCTGTCATGCAAAACTTTGCATAATCTTTTGGAGCATAAAAATTTAGTTAGTCTTGCAAAATATAAAGGAAATTGTCATTATTCAGTGCAGTTTACAGATTACTCTTGCAGACGTAATGTTGCTGCGTAAATTCAGCATTTTTTTTAAAGTTGAGTAATAATGAATACTGATGATTTGGCATTTTGCATATCATTTACATATTCAAAATGTTTACCCTTTCAAGTTCATTACAGTGTAAATCATTTCTCCATCAATCACATGAGCTTGTTTAAATTGCTGGTTATATAATTATATTATGCAATAATAAATAAATCTGTATATATATATGGCATAATCTGTTTTAAGCATTATGGTTTGTATATTATATAGCTATGAAATATGATGGTAATTTTTTACTAAATCCTATGTAATGGAACGATTTAGATGTGGGCATTTGTTTCTTCTCTTTTAAAGCAATTCTAAAGATATTTCAATGTGCATCTCTTGTCAGTGTGAGGCATTCTATGACATTCATACGTAATGCGTTCATTTTTTTGGACAGTCAACTGCGTTATTTAAGAAATTTGCACATTTTAAGTTAACTTGATTGATAAATTTTATGGTAGAATAGAAATGAATGGGTAACATTAACAAGACATGCAGTTTTTCATAGTTTAAATCATTTTATTTGATTTCTGAATTACATAATATATATTATTATATTCACATCAAATATATAAGGCTCCGAAACATGTACTACAATCTTAAGGTTGAACATGGCTAAATGTTGTGTTTGATTTTGGAGGTTGGGTATTTTGATTTAAGGGTCACATTGAGTTGGTTTCAACAAAGAGCAAAAAATATCTATTTTTGAAATGAAACAAAACTTTGTATAAATTATCATGTTAGGAGCTAGAGATATGTAAATAATACAAATCATGTTCATAGTGTTGTATAAGTTACGATAAAAATAATGAAAATATTTTCAGTAAAATATTGAAAATCACATATCTTACAGTTTTTCTGCAAAAATCTCACAAAAATCACATAATATTACTTTGCTAAATTTTTATGGAGAAACTCATGTTGCCTGATCATTCTCTAAAAAAAATTTAATATTAAAGCAGCACGCCTCCAGATTCATGCTTATTTTCATGAAAATTTTGGAAATTTGTTTAAAAGTTGTATGTAGTGAAATAACCAAAAGGAAGCAATTTACAAATTATCAATGGCACCTACAACCCCATAAATTACGAAAAAGAGGACAAAATATGCAAAAATTGCCCAACACAGTAGAAATATAGTTATAAATACTGAAAAATCAGTTATTAATCGCACATAACATGGAAATTATTACTTGAATCTTGAATATTTTTACTTTTCCTAAAAGCTTAGTACATTTTTCTCAAATTTGATTTTATTGAAATATTTTCGCTCATCTGGAGGCATGTAGCTTTAAGTTTAGTCATAACACTATAAACACACTAAATATCTTCAATAGACTTGTCTTTCATATGAATAGGGAACAGTGCAGACTGATGTTGGCTGATTTTGGTCAGCAATCTAGGTTGTTTTCAAGGTAGAATCAGTTGCTGCCAGCTCTGTGAAAGTTAATCATTAAAATAAAAGAACAATTATGGAAAACATGCAGTCATTGATATGATTGATTTGCCTTATTATTTGACCTGTTATGATAAATAAGGCAGTGTTCGTGTACTTTCAGATACATTGTTTAGTCAGTGTGTACATGTATCTGTAATGGACACAGAGTAGGTCAAGAGGCCATCATTGGGCTTCCCTTGACAACATGCTTGAACCTTGGACATTTAAATCCACTTTTTCCAAGTGTTAGGTTATTAGAGCTCTTAATGGTCTTTTTCATCTCGCCCAAATTAGGTCACCATGCCACTTAAATACTTATCCTCGATTTTGAAATGTTATTAAATACAACAGGCTCCTGCCACCCACCACCTCCTCGCAAAGACCAAGACTGATGTATCACTTATATGACTGACTCATTCATAAAGTTTTATTGCCATTTTGAAGCTTTTTCTGTATACTATAATTATAAGGCTGACGAATAAAATCTTATTCAGTTTTACTTATACTTAGTCATCTTGGACTAATCATGCCTCCAGAATTGGAGAGTATTTTGAAATGTGTCTCTGTTATGTACTTGACATTCGGGTGAAGGTCGAATGATTCTTTTCCTGTGGAATGTCCTGTTTTTCAGTCCAATTAAATTCATCTGGAGTTTAGATGAAAGCATTGCCACTTATTTTTGCTTTTAAGCACAGATTTTTACCCTTGTGAGAATTGCTTTACAAGATGTATTTCCTGATGAAGCAATAAATAGAGGTTTGTTTGCAACTCTAGATTACATTTATCCTTCCTAATTGATTCTCAACATGGAATTTAGCTTTCATATTTCTTTGTTTTCACACAAATAAGTGGGTAATTGATGCATAATGATGAAATTCATGGATAATAGCCTACTTTCATTTGATTGTCTCTGCTTCCAGAAATAACACAATTTTTTGTTTTTTATGTATCATTTATCTTAAAGCTGTAATTATAATTAGATTCTAAAATCTAGTGTTTTTAATTGTTGAAATCTAGGACTAATGTTGCATGATATTTCCAAGCTGCATTCATAGCTCCCTTGGTGTCTGCTTTATAAATTGCTGAATTTTCTGCAAGTCTGCAAGATTTATCATAGCTATACCAACATTTGAACAAGTAAACTTAATAGATCCACCATGTCTTAAATAAATCTTAGAGAATTAAACAAGGCTTAGAATTGATCTCCTCATCTATTAACTTCTTTCTAAATTTTCACATTTCATTTTGTTAATAACTCTCGTTGGAGCCACATGAAATAAGTTACTGCTATAAAATACTCAAATTATGTAGATTATTTCGATTGATATACAGTGATATTTTCCAAGGGGCTTCTGAATTCTAAGGATTTTTGTTTTTGATCGCTACTTGTGCCGTAGTATATCAAACAGAAATATAAACTTGTATATTACAGCTGTCGGGACTTGCTCAACTTTGAATATTGAAAATACAAAGAGATTATTGAGTGATTATTATTGTATAACAAAATCATCTCACATCTGTTACAATAAATATCCATTCCTGTCTGACTGTTATGTAACTGTTATATAACCTTTTTAAAAAAAATCAGATTTTGTATAGCCTTATCTATGGGCCACTTTTGTCTTAATTGAATTATACAGTAGATGATTAATCATTATACTTGTTCGACTATTCCTGAAAAACCCTTAAATTCATATGATGCCTTCAATTATTTCAGAAACATCAAACTTTTCATTAAACTTCATTACTTTTTAAGTCCCAATTAAAACAGCCAGAAGAAAGCATTTTAATAGACTGTTATAATTACTGTTAAATCATGAAAATTTTTGAAAAAGGAGTTTCACAAAACTTAAGACAGTTGAAAATTAAGTTATTTCTAAAGTATGTCAAGGTCACTATTTAATCAAAGAAAGAAGGGATTACTCAATTCTTAATTAT